AAGTTAAGTTAGTAAAAAAAGTAATTAAAAAGTTAAAAGTTAAATTTGTTTCATTTCATGACTTCAGGATTTCAGTTTTATAAACAACGGAAAAATAAATATACACCTTATTTGGAAACATGTTTTATTTACAGATACTTATTAAATTTAAGTAATAAAATTTTTTCGAAGACTCCGCACTAATCATGAAAAAAGTAGTTTCAATCGAATTGTGTATGTGTATGTAACCTAACCCGCCCAACACACATTTTTTGGACGTAATAATGTCAGATCATGGACATAGTATACATGGATTCCGAATGCCTTTGTGCTGTCGTCTAATAGAGTGAAACCAACATCTAGAAAAAGAGCGACAATAGAAGGGCTATAGTTTTCTTCCTATTTTGTCACTTTTTGTTACGCGTGCATCCTTTTCTCGTTTCCGTAATTAGAGAGCGCAACAACGCCCCGACTAGACTGGCAAGTAAAAGTCTTATTTAAATTTTATTGCATACTTTGACTTTGTAGAAAGAGACAGAGAACAGAGGTGCTGTACATATTGACTGTATGCGGAGTCTATATATATTATGTCTATGATCTCTTTCTATACAGGGTCATCGAAAAGTATCGGACCCCCCTAATATCTTCAGTTAGAATGCATTTTGGAGAAAATATCCAATAGCAAAGTTGTATAGTTTCAAGCGGGGAGTAAGATGATGACCTTGACTTTGACCTTGACCATGTCCTTCAAGGTCAACCTTATTTTTTTAAATGGAATCATCCCCTACATTTTATTGCATATTCTTATAGCTTATCTCGAGAGCTTTCCAAAACGCTAGAATAAAACATTTTTTCATTAAGTACTTTTTGAGTTATAAAGGTTTGAAGTTAACAATTTGTTAAGTGGCGTGTGGGTCCGGCCAGTTAAGGCAAGAGTGGCGTGTGGGTCCGACCAGTTAAGGCAAGAGTGGCGTGTGGGTCCGGTCAGTTAAGGCAAGAGTGGCGTGTGGGTCCGGCCAGTTAAGACAAGAGTGGCGTGTGAGTCCGGCCAGTTAAGGCGAATTTCATTCCAATTGGTCAGTTTGGGCAAAATATTCAATTGTACCAAACAATTCACAACAAATGTTCAAATTGTTGCTCTTCAACAGCCTGGCAATGTGCCAATCTGTTATAAACAGCTGAAACCGCATTCCGGTACGTTTCCGGCGGTATTAGTTCTATCTTTCGAGTTATTCTCCCTCTTAAATCATCTAAATCTTGAGGCTTGGTGGCATAAACTTTACTTTTCAAGTAACCCCACAAAAAAAGTCAAGTAGAGTCAAGTCCGGAGACTAAGGTGGCCACTCAATATAATCCCTTCGCCCTATCCACCTGTCCTGAAAGACCTCATTCAAATATTGACGGACAATGACACCATAATGAGGTGGAGCTCCATCTTGTTGGAAATAAATTTCATCCATATTTCCACAACTTTGCTATTGGACATTTTTCCAAAACGCATTCTTACTGAAAATATTAGGGGGATCCAACCCTTTTCGATTAATGTATTTTCTTTAAACCAATTGGTCTCATTATTCCGCGCACAAAAGTATTAAGATTATGATTACTGAAAACTAAATAATATTTTACAAGATATTTTACATTTTGTGTCAAAAAATTGTTAACTTCAAACCTTTATAATTCAAAAAGTACTTAATGAAAAAATGTTTTGGAAAGCTCTCGAGATAAGCTATAAGAATATGCAATAAAATGTAGGGGGTTCCATTTAAAAAAATAAGATTGACCTTGAAATGACCTTGAAGGACATGGTCAAGGTCAAAGTCAAGATCATCATCTTACTCTCCGCTTGAAATCATACAACTTTGCTACTGGACATTTTCTCCAAAATACATTCTAACTGAAGATATTAGGAGGGTCCGATACTTTTCGATGACCCTGTATATTGGCTTCACTTTTCTGGCGGGTTCCATGTATACGTCCATGTATCAGACATACTAATAAAATAACTATCGATACTAGATTACTAACAAGGACTTCGAACGTGCGTCGCGTAAGGTTTCCAGTTGCATGCGAGAAAATGGCGGTAGTCCTGTATGTGTGACGTGTCACTTATGTGAATACTTAAGCTGGTGGCACATAGAAAAACTTAAGTAGTAAGACGTAAACAGTAAGCGAATTAGCCAATCACAATCGTTGATTCTTGGACCGTAAGAAGAATCAACGACTGTGATTGGTCAATTTGCTTACTGCTTAAGTTTTTCTGTGTGCCACGGCCCTTACAATGTACTACAATTTGAGTCAGCGTGGCCATTAAATTACTGTCGTAAAACCAAAAATGCCAGCATCTTATTGCATCAAAAAATGTTGTAACAAAAAAATAGGTGGTATTGGACATTATTTGCTCTGCTAATTTTCAACAAAAGAATTTTATAACTAACGTAGTGAAAATATGTGGCGGTAACGGCCATTTTCTCGCATGCACCGGAAACTCTATCAGACGTAAACCATTATATGCTTTTAGATAGCTTGTTAGCAATCTAGTTTAGACATCTGTACACCCTCCTCCTCCTGCACCATATACATACACTGAGACACGAATCTATTCAATAATGAGCACACGTATGGTTATATATAAATGCCTGTACAGTTAAAAAAGCAATCTATGTACCGTAGATAAAAGTTTGGTTAGATTTAAAATAGCAACTTTTTAATGGTGCTAGAAAAAAAATTGTTCACTTTTTTCACACTTTTTGTTGAAGATTTTTGATCAGCACCTCATAAGATACAAAATATCATAGTTGCAGTCAATTCGACTGAAACCACTTTTTTCATATGATTAGTGCAGTCCTTTTTATTGGACATTTTTCCTCAAAGATTGTCAAAAATGAGCTCTCCTGCACTGAACAGCCTTCGACATCTCGTGACATCTTTATGGCATGATTAACTTCAAGATAATTGAATTAAAAGTTAATAGTTACCAATAAAATGTAACTAAATTAAGTTAAATGTTAAGAGTGTAAAAATGTAACTAAGTTAAAGCCATTTAATTTTTTAACTTAACTTTTTAACTACTACTTTTTAACTTTTTAGTTACTACCCAACCCTGAAGTTAATATATTATTAATGCGTACGTTCGTCACGGTAATGACTTTCAATTTTGATAATTTGATAAGCTCGCACCTTCATTATATATAAACTGGTTTGCAACCAACAGGGTTAGATATTCGTTTTACACATTGTTGAAAAACGTTGTTGTTGTTGTGCGTAATAAGATAGATAGAGAATTATTTTCTTACCGATGCGCTATGCCGTTTGCATTCATATGAGCTACTGCTTCCAGTAGCTGAGCGAGTAATAATATTGACACACGCATGTTGCCATCAACGCTACGACTTTCCAAATATTGTTTCAACGTAACATCATATCTAAAATGATACAATATATGTCAAATATTATAAGAAAACATGAAAATTTAAATATAATTTTGTTGTATCCAATAAGAACCTTTTCATTAATAAAAATAGACTCATATTTCTGCCTGATCCGTGAGGATTGATTCTGGTTGGTAAAGCATCAGGATACATTCCCCAAGAATCAGGTAATATCGGTATTCTATCAGCAAAGACATTATACATAGCCACAATGTTTGGATGAGGTGGTAATGTTGCTTTATTTTCCACCAATTTTTGCTCCCAAATAGTCATGTTGTCATTTCCATAATGTTTTCTAGAAGGCACCGTCTCTCTATACATAGCCCTCAGAATAGCAGTAGCATTAGATTCTGCATCATAATTGAACATCATTTTTAATGCAAATGGGAATGCATTCTTATCTTTTGTTTCAGTATCAATATTGATTGAACTATTATTTTTCTCCAGTGTAGCATCTATGAATCTTGCTGCGTAGACAGCTGCGGAACAACCTTTAGCAATGATAGGCCCAATCACGAAGTTTTGTAAAGTCACAATATTCTCTTCAATCGGGATTGTTTCATAATTTTTATCATTTTGCGGCATATTCCAACGTAACTTAGAAACAGCTTCCTATAGGCACATGTATTATATTACAAAAGATATTTTATATTCTTACAAAATGTAAGATGTTAACAACAAACAATAATATTAGTTTCATTGATAATCGTTAAAGAGACTGACTTTTTTACCGCAATTCGATTTAAACTTTGCAACTTTGTACATTTTGATGCGTAAAATACGAATATCGAAGTAAAAATCGCTCTTAAATAGAACAAAAATTTTTAAGTACTAATTAATTTTTTTCCTCGTCTCCTTTATCTGGATTTTAAATTTGAACTCTTTGTCCATCGTAATTCTTACAAACTTACAAGAGGAACACCAGGTGACTGCTTCAGGGATTTTTATGCGCTTTTTACAGGCTGTTCTTAGGCGAAGAAAAAACAACACGTCCGGCCGTTTCGGTCAATGGGCTATAGTTTCGAAAAAATCGATTTTTAAAGAATGACTTTAGTCGGCATATTTGATCGACTGTCACAATTGAACAGTAGCTCTGGTAGCACAGTAGGTAAGACGTTGGCTTCGTACGCAGTAGGTTGCGTATTCAAATCTCGTCTCGTGTATTTTTCCTTTTTTTTTTTTTTTTTTTTTTTATTAAAAATTCGTTCTTATCTGTAATTATTTATATTATTGTAGATGTACATGAAAAAGATCATTTATTTAATTATATTGGTATATTTTTTGTAAATAAAATTTAAAAAATTTTAAATAATTGTAATAATCTGAAAAATCTGTATAAAGAAATATTATTATCTTTATAAATTTTACTTTAATTTGTTATTCATTTTTATTACTTTTTGATTTAATGAAATTTTACAAATTTAAAAATTAGTAGGTAATTTATTCTTTTATTGTCTTATTTTTTTTTCCTTATCAATCACGCAATGATAATAAAGATTGTGAAGCTTGTGCCGACATGTCACTCGTGATCACTCACATTTTCATTACATTTTTATTTATGCGTTCATATGAATAACAACACGATGACGACGACGACGACAACGGTAATAATAATTATTATATACATAAATATTTAATTATCTACTAATTTATAAATTTATAAAATTTTATTACAACCAGAAAGTAATAAAAATTAATATCATTAAATTAAAATGAAATTTATAAAAATAATAATATTTCTTTATATAGATTTTTTAAATTATTATACAATTATTTAAAAATTTTTAAATTTCACTTACAAAAAATATATCAGTATAATTAAATAAATAATCTTTATTGTGTACATCTATAATAATATAAATAATTACAGATAAGAACGAATTTTTAATAAAAAAAATGCACGAGACGAGATTTGAACACGCAACCTACGGTGTACGAACCCAACGTCTTACCTACTGCGCTACTGCTACTGCTGTTCAATAGTGACAGTCGAATGTACACGCACCGGCGTTAAT